AAAAGCGAACTTCGAACTTTAAAGTGATCACTGTCTAGTTTCCTTTATGAATGACGTTAATTTACTACAAGATTTAGCCAAAGATACTTCTTTTATCGAAGCATGTATAAAAAAAACTATAAACCTGAGTTTGTTCAAACGCAAGTTTCATTCGCTCGATATGCTACTACAGCCGGAAACCTATGATTTGTTCAACAGCATAACGATAAATGAGGTTCAAACGATCAACGCTCGAGAGCAACAAATTATCAATGTAAACAATATTTTATGCGCAAGCAAATCATCTTTAGTGAAACTGCAAAATCTTTTTCTGGGAGATAATATTATTATAACTATAGATCAAATCCAACTTCCCAGTCTTATAAACTTATCGTTAAAGTTGAACAGGTTGACAGCTATTCCGGAGGTTAATCCAATTGTTCCTTTAAAAATTCTGGATTTAGCGTCCAATAATATAACAAAGTTGAATTTCACATCTTTACCCGAAACCTTGGTAAAACTCTCACTTACAAACAATTTTATTGATGTAACTCCTACAGAGTTTGTCGATTTTTGTCATGAATTTGTTTTACGTGGTATCAGACTTAAAAAACTTTATTTTGAAGGAAACCCGTTGGAAAAATCGATACCTTACTATTGGTATTATGCCATTTTGACTATTCCTACGTTGGAACAAATCGATTATTATGTTCACGCCGGTAATGGTTGGGTCAATAGCAAAACAAATCAACTTATAATTTACAACGAATGGATCGACAAACTCAGCTATTCCGAAGAAACTTTTTTAGATGATATGAAAATACCTTCATTGTATCAAGCAGAGCTAGAATATAAAAATTTCCAAAAGGTCAACATTTACAACGACGTTCACTTGTTATTACTTTCAAAAATTGCCGAATATAACATCAAATACATTAACGTTCCGAATTTTTTTATCTTTCTTTTTGATTATATAAAAGAAATACTTGAGGAAAAATACGACGAGGTACAGAAAGGTTACTTATATTTTTATGAGTCAGCGAAATTATGGTTTAATTATACTCCAGAAGAGAAAAGTTTTTACACAAAAAATATAAGTCCGAAACAGTGCACTGATTCGGTCCAGAGAGCAATGCAAGACTTGAAAAATCTTCTCATGATTGTAACAAGCCATCAAAGTTTAGCAACTGAGCTGTATCTTTTAGTAGCAGGAATGATTTATTTAATACCAACAACGTTTATTGAGCTTGGACGCAACATTGCCAGACTATTGGCAACTGTAGATGCCATTTCAAATTTAGAAAATAAACTTATAACTGACGCCCTACAAGACGTCCTGAGTAGTTTAGTATATATGTCTTTGCCAGAACAACGATTTTTACTGCAGAGCGTAGCTCACATTGTCAAACTACTACCCCGAAATCAAGTACCAATTAATAAAACTGAAGAAGCTTTACTTGTACAGCTTAAAAATCAGTTTGATAATTATTTACTAGTATTGTTATACGAACTGCAGTTAAACAATTATAGTCTTTTGCTCAACCACGCAATCTCAAATTTCTGTATAACTACACTTCTACATATTGAATCTAGTTTTCACATATTTTCTCTAATTAATGCTCATTCTGGAGAGATAACAATAGATACACCTAAGCACGATCTGGATTTAATTTTAACAATTATTTTAACCATAAAAATCTTACTGTTCAATATTAACGAGTCAAAAGCGTTCAATTCAATCAAAAAAAATACGTCTTTATTAAATATTCTGATAGAAGCTAGTTTAGAATACATAACAACGGCTATTGATCCTTTCATCACACCGACTGAAAATATTACTTTATCTAATCGAATTGAAGAAAATGACTTAAAATATGAAAGACTACGAAACACAATTAACAAGAAATTTAACAACCATTACATTAGTTGTTTTTACTACACAGCCTGCTTTGAATTAATTAGTTCTTGTATAAGTGCTAACACTACAGAAAATGAAACATTCATTTTGATGTACAGATTAGATTTTTATTTTTTAATGATTGTCAGTAACTTTGAATTGTTCAACGCACATTTGATTGATGCGGCACTTCAAGTATTAATTGAGATTGTCAGGTCGCCGAAATATTCGGAAAAAAAAATATTGGAAATGGTTGAAGTCTTAATCAAGCCCTCTGGTGATTTGTCAATTTTCGAACGTATATTAATAAACGTTTCTTCTTTAAAAACTTTTGACGAATCATTGCTGGTTAAATTGGCTTTGAAACTCGTTGAAGAAAAAAAGATTAGATTAAGTCGAGATTCTCATTCTTTAACTGTGTACTCAATAGTAGGACGTATAGTAAATTTCGTAAATTTGTTGGAATATTCTAGTAACAAAGCGTACTCTTTGACACGATTCATTAAATCTAGTACTGTGTATTTAAAAGTTTTAAGACGGCTAATTGGTATTTTATCGAATGATATAGAAAAAATAGTCAGATACGATTGGAAACTCGACATTTTTATTTTAGAAACTCTAAAATTTGTTAATATTCCAAGCATTTTTGACGAACTCGAATTTCAATTTTTTTTAGAACTGTTGCACATTCTTTCAGTATACAAAATAAACTTGGATACGCTCATACAAGTAGAAATTCTTATGTCAAAAACTTTAATCAAATTTCAACTTGAGCTAAACAACATTGACTTTCATACAGCACGGAATATTTGGTTTCAGATATTGGCACTAATTCGTTACTCTTTAATCAAATTTCCAATCGAATGTAAGTGTATCAGTCAAAATTTATCATCATATTTAAATGTCTTGACAACCATCTATTTCACTAATTATAACTATACAGATCTTGTAGAATTTATATTTGATGGTTTAGAAGATATTTTGACGTTAGAGCAAAACGTTTCATTCACAGCCTATGATACGTTTATTGAACAAAATATTGCCTATTACTTGGCTCCTTCAAAATTGTTAGATGCTTTGTTTCTTGTAGCTCCATCTTCAAAAATCGCATTACGCATAATCAATACACTATGCGATATTTTCTCATTAAAAAATTCTAGTGCAGCAATGTTATCAGACGTTGAGTCGGTATTGAATTTATGCGATAAAATCAGCAGTCGATCTTCTAAAATCGTCGAATTATTATTGAAGGAGCTTTACACATCAGATGCCGAATTTCAGGAACGAAAAGAGTTCTTAATGAGTTACGACATAGAAGACTTGTTTTTATCTTTAGTGAATTACATCGAATGCAGAATAGTTCCGTTGTTCGATAAATCTTTTAATGAAATAGACAAGTTGTTAGAATCTAATACACTCTGGATAAACGTTATTAAAACATGCATGGTTGACGTTGAAAAAGACCCTAAAAATGTTGAAACTTCTATAGATCTTTTAAATTCAGTTTTACACTATTTATATAATTCAGATAGTATTCTAAAAAAGGTTTCTTATATGGGATCCTCCAAGCGCAAGTTATCGGCTAGAATTGGAAACATAATAATCAAATCGTTGACCTTAAAAAAGAGTTTTTTTGCTACAATTCAAAGCTCGTTAAATGTCGAACTTAATCATAAAATTGTAGCTATTTGTGACACTAGTTCTACTGGTCTGCCGCTATATTTTATCATTAGTTGTTTTTACGACTTGTTTTCACTAATGAACACAAGCCAAATTCTTCTATGCATTGACAGCCAAATACATTACAATTTATCGTCAGTTAGACTATTAAAACTTTTAATTTTTTTAGCATTATCAATAAAACCAGATTTTGCTCTATTAAGAAAACTACTTGATTTGTTCTACGAAATATTAATACTAGGTTACAACGAAGTTGCTTTATCTGCAGATTACTTGATTATTTACAATCTTTTATGTAACTTTCTCAAACGATTACACGAAAAAACCTCGACAGTCTTATATAATACATTAAATTCATTCTTCATAAGCAAGTTTAATCAAAACAACCGCTTTGAAGATTATAATGCTTTACACACTTTACCATTACTGACTTCTTTTTTAATCAGCTTAGTAAAAATAGTACGCTTAATCACTCAACAAATCAAATATATAAAATTTACAAAATACGTACAAGTAAACCAAAAATGCATAAACCTAGCTTACAACAAACTTATAGGTGATTGGTTTTTTGCTCTAGTTGGCAAGATCATTTCAGCAGAACATAAACTTACTTTAGGATCTGCATCAGGAAGTGTCAATTTTCATCATCACACTTTTTCTGCTCTTTTTCAAGATTTATGGCAAATTGAGTACGAATTAAACTTTATTTTTGCTGATTGTAAACTTTATTGGACAAAAAGTGAAAATCTCGAAATTTTAAGACAACTGACAACAGCTTGTTTCAATTATAATGTTATTTTGAGAGCGTCATTAGTGTATGGAATATCTAATCAATATCGACTAAACAGAATTTGCAGAACGCTAGAACAAGAACTTTCCAGACGGTACGATGCTGCCATTAGAATCGTTGAAATACAATATTGTTTTTATTCTGTAGGTGCTATATGGGAACGAAAGTGTATAGCCGTTTCAAAAAAATCTTTTGTTTTATTTTCCCTTAACGACGAAACCTATAATATAATTACAGAAAAAATAATCTCTGATATCAATTTTATAAGCTGTAGTATATCTTTCGGCTATATTGTTTCTGTCACATTTCATGATAAATCAAGAATTCATTTGATTTTTGATCAACAACAAACAGCTTTAAAAATTTCTGCAGTTCTTTATTTTTATAAAAGTCAAAATAATATTGAAAAGATATTCGTTCAACCAGACCTCGTTTTGGCAAATTGTTTTGCACAAGTTTGCACAAATAACAAAATTCGTTTTGACGATCTTATCGCTTATTACTGGTGTGAAATTGATAATCTTCCCATTCTCATTATACTTTCAGAAACACAGGTTTGTTTTTTTGAAATCAAGCTGGATTCTTGGTTTGCTTTAGATCGAGTTTTTGCTCGTCAATGTGGTATTGTTATCAACCAGAATTTTGAAGATAAAAATGGAATTATCGCTAAGTAAGTTTATCCGAATTCATTTTTATTAGTGCAATATCACGAAATCTATGTTTTATTAAGACAAACGCACAACATTCAATTGTTGATACAATTTTTTTAGCTAGCAACAAAGACGAAGTAAGTAATTATTGCAAATAATATTTTAGGAACAAGAAGAATCAGCTTTTTCTGCTATTCCTAAATGGTTAGAATACATGGATGAAAGTATGGACAGAAACGAGGTACTTTTGACAAAACTTTCTAATGTTGCAGAAGAATGTATTTTGACCAAATCCTGCATTCCCATTTCAGAAATTAGAAAAATAAGATTTACTGGATTAAATAGCTTAACCGTTGAAATTCATTATGAAACCATGTTGGCAATTGAAACGAAGGAAAAACAATTTAGATCAATTATCTTTTCATTTCTGGCTGACTCGTCAATTTTGATGTTTAAAAGCGAATTAGCTAAGTGTTTAGCTGAACAAGAAAACTCAAGCAAGTGGAAAAGACAAATAAAAAATAAATCTATCAACGCAGGGTATTGAAAAAAAAATGTCCCATTGAGGCACATTAAATTCTTAATGAGACGAACGAAGCACCTATAAAATTAACATAATTAAGATGGTGATTAAAGTTTGTTCGATCTTAATTCCTCTCGCTCTAGTTTCAGGACAGGTGCATTTGTCAATTCCGGCATTAGACAATACAATTGTTTGTGAGTCTTCTGTTCCAGGTGCCTGTGATCCTCGTAAAGCTTTGAAACCATTTTTAAAATGTCCAAGAGGAACTTTACATGGCGAACATTGCGTCGTGCCCACTGTAGGAATTCTTACTTGTGACGAAGGCAGTGTTTTAAAAGACTTTCAATGTGAATATATCGAAACTATTCCAGCTGAACCATCTTGTCCTGTGGGAACTCGTGATATTGGAGGTCTGTGTCAATCAACCAAAATAAAAGGCATAATGGAACGTTGTAAAGCTGGAGAACTTGAAAACAACCAATGCGTTGTATACATTCCAGAATCACATCACAAAATCACTGGATGTCCAATCGGATATACTGAAGCCAGAGGATCATGTTGGAAATCAGTTGAAATGGATTGCACACCCCGAGCAGACGCAGGAATGGTAGAGGCATCAGTTCATGCTGAAACATGTTTAAGACACCGCTTTAATGATAGTAATAATAATAATACGCTCCCGGATGCTGAAATCGGTGTTAATCAAAGGGTTTGTGAAGTCGAATTAGAAGCTCAGCCAATTTGCGAGTCTCGATGTCCTGAACATACCATTGAGAAGAATGGAAAATGTTACAGTCGCAAAGTTTACCCGACAGATGTCTATTGTTCATTAGGACATAATAAAAACTGTTTCCCTGACGAATTTCTAAAACCTATTTTCAATTGTCCTGCTGGATACCGGTTGAACAAACAAATTTGTGAACTTTTAAAAACGACTCAGCCCAACAAACAATGCAAAAAAACAGACATTATGTTAGATGATCAAAATTGTTACACTATTTTAGGAGCAGCAGAAAAAACCTGTTCCAGTGGCTATCAACTTATTGGAAATTATTGCGAACTAAGTGACAGCCCTTCATTATATAAACGTATGTATTAGATATCAATTATTTCATCGGTAGTTTGAGAATTTTTTATATATAAGCTCATTGTTAATTTATCAATATAATACTTTTCATGACTGAGATTTAAACAGTTAATTGATTTATTTGATGTATCAATGTATAAAAAATTTTGAATATGATCAGACAATTGTTTAATAATTTTCAAACTAAGTTCCAAGCTTAGTGCGTTAAGAGTTTTTTTAATGAACTCCTTTACTCTATGCAAATACTTAGTGTTTTGTTGTTTATTCCATTTGTTGAAATAGTTTAAATCTCGAGATATTATTTGAAGCTAATTATAAGTAAAAACTAGTTAACTTACTATTTTTTCTAGTTCCTCATTTTTTATGCTAATATTGAAAGAAGCTAGTGTAAAATCATCTAAATCGTTATTACTTTTTTTTGATTCTTTTTCAATAAAATTAGATAAAACTTCACTTAGGAAGTCGACGGTAACTTTTTCTACAGCTTCGAGGGCTTCACTGAAACTAAGCGTTTTTACACTTTTTAAAAAATAAGGTAACACACCATTTTCTATGACTAGAAAAGCAAAAAATCGCGGTCCAACACGATCTCTTGTTTGCCTATCAGCGTAAAAGTAAGACGAGCCAATCAAAGATTTTTTTTCTATCTTGATGAACGCATCAGGTAAACAATATGGGCAAGGTAAGATGATTCGTTTTAAAAAGGCTAAAATGCTGCTATCGTGATTTTGTTTTATTGTTGTTAGCAACGAAATAGAGTTATTTGGAATTTTAAATTGAAAAGAGAAGTTTTTTTTGGCTTTGCAAACACAACAAACTAATGTTTTTGCTTGCTTACTCTTCATCAATAATCAGAGCTACTCATAATTTTATCTACAAATATTTTTGTTTATATAATAATTTAGAGATTTATAAATTTTACAGTTTGATTTATTCAAAACATACGATAATTATAGCCGAACAAATCATTAAAAATGTAAATTTTAACTATATGAACGACCATAACAATAAATCATATAAAATTTTTAATCTAGTAGATTTGAATCCTGAACTTCCCGAATCAGTCTTGCAAAAATCTTTAGCTGATAGAATATGCAATTTTTTGAAAAATCCTGAAAATCATACAGATTATTTTGAGTTAGGATCAACTATTGACTTAGCAACTCAGAAGCGCGAACAAGTCAGAATTAATTCCCGGAATTACAAAAAAAATATGCAAAAATTTATCCATCAAATTCAAAAGACACACGAAGAAGTAGAAAAAAATAATGATTATTATGATGAACAGAACATTTTTATACAATTATAAAATTATCTTATTAAGTTGAGATACTTGAGCATCCTCAATGATGCTTATTCAATAACTTTTGCCGATGGTATCGGAATGATTAACAACTGTAAAATTGGAAGCAATCAAACCTATCAAATTAATTTCAACGAAGTTAGTACTGGGTTAGGTGACATAGCTGCTTTGCTTTCAACAGTCTCGGAGCGTCTTTCTTATAATATCAGCAATAAGTTTGTATTAGCAGGGTCTCGAAGTCTTTGCATAATTAATGAAATATCCTATCCACTTTATTTAACTGATAGCATTTTTAGTACTTATTTTCAGAAAAATAAATTTTCCTTAGCTCTCAAAGAATTAATTGGCGTATATTGTGATTTACGAAATAAAGTAATGCAAAATAGTATATCAAAAGAACCTTTTGATACATCAACTCTAGGATTAATAAACAATTACTCTATTGATTATTCTGTAACATCCGAACAAAATTGGACAAATGCTATGTATTTTTTACTCAAAAATTTAAAATGGTTGTTATCTGAAGTAATTTAATCAAAGAAGCTAGTTATTATAATTCAATAAAATTAATGATCATATAATTGAAAAAAAAAAATCAGAGTAATATTTATTCACAAAAATTATTCAAATGGAGGATGTATATGATCTATTATTAGCAAGCTTTGATAATGATAAACTCGTTTTAGCAAAACAAGAAAATGGAGACATAGTTTTAACTCATGGAGGGACCCAATTTTTGCATTCTCAGTTTAAACAACCCTGTCCACTTTGTGGATCACGCGAAGGAAAGGTATCAGAAGTAACAATTAAATACTTCCACTTTTTAGCCAATATATTAAATAAACGACAAAATATGAATAGAGAATTTGTAGAAAAAAACAGATATTTGTCAGATCTTCTGGATTACATTCCACAGCAATTTATTTTAAACAAATACTATTCAAATTTTTTCAGAGAAAAATCGAAGCTTGGTAGTGGAGCTTATGGACAAGTTTATCTTTGTGAACATGTTTTAGATGATATAGTATTAGGGTATTACGCCATTAAAAAGATTCCTGTTGGAAATGACAAAAAAATGTTAGCTAAAATGTTAAAAGAAGTTAAAATGAGAGAATCACTTAACCATCACAACATTGTTTCATACAAACACAGTTGGTTAGAATTTCATAAAGGTACAGCACTACCTCCAGTTTATGTACCGTGGTTGTTTGTGCTTATGGAATACTGTGCAGGAGGTTCACTTGAAGAATTAATAACGTTGGTGTACATTCAAAATGAAAGTATACTCAGCGAAAATCAAGTCTGGGTTTTATTTTTTGACATAATATTTGGTTTACAGCATTTGCATCATCACTATATAGTTCACAGAGATTTGAAACCTTCTAATATTTTATTAAAGTTACAATCCGAGGTTCATACGGACAATGTTGAAATACCTCAAGTTTATGCATGTTTGGCTGATTTCGGTACAGCCGATTATGTTTCAAGCAGTCGAACAGGCGATGGGTACACTGGAACGTTAGAATACACTGCACCAGAACTTTTAGAGCAAGATTCTTATGGGCATTACTCGAATTCGTACGATTTAAAAAATGATATTTGGAGTTGCGGTTTGATGTTGTACTACATGGCTTACGGAGACATATCATTTATTTCACAGTCAAAAGATAGTGATGAAACCAAAAAAAGTATAATGTTTTTGAAAGAATCAATTCGAGACAATAAATACACCCCAAACGATTTACCATTTAGTTTTCATAAAAAAAAAAATCAAATTGTGAGGAGTTATCATATGAAGGCATGTATTCTAGCTTTACTAGAAGTTGATTGTAAGAAACGACCTACTGTAGACATGATCCAGATTGGTATGCAACGAATTGAAACATTCAACACAGTAAAAGTACGCAAATCTATTGCCGACATTATTAAACACAAATACAACACAGATTTAAATGTATCAAATTACATAACTCCATATTTCAAAAATTAAGCAAACATTATTTTAACCCACATGTAACACATATTTTTTTATTCTAACATTTCGATCTAATTAATTTTTATATAATGTATAGGAAAGAAGATATTTGTATTATAGGTGTGGCTGGACAAGTAGGAACAGCTGTTGCAAGCGCTCTAGCACTCAGAAATTATCCTGGAAAAATTTTTGGGGTTGATATCAAGGAAGAACTAGCTATGGGACGTTTGTTAGACATAGATGACGCTACGGGAATAAACAACTTACCATACAACCACATTTCATACACTACTTTCGACAAGGTTAAAAATTGTGACATAATTATTATTTCTTCGGGAGTTCCTCAAAAGCCTGGTCAAACTCGTACTGAACTGATAGATATTAATTTGAAAATAATGAAATCTATTTGTAAGAGTATCAAACCATTAAAACCTACTACAAAAGTAATTGTAATCAGCAATCCAGTAGACATATTAACTTATTTTCTCCAAAAAGAAATAGGTTTGCCTCATAATCAAGTGTTCGGTTCAGGAACATTCCTAGATACGTCAAGACTGAAGAAGCAACTAAACTACTCATACAATATTCCGCTTGACAAAGTCAATATTTATGTTATCGGAGAACATGGTGATGACCAATTCGTCGTATGGAGCAATGCCACTGAAAATGGTAAATCAATCATTGAGAAATATAAAATTACGAGAGATAATCAACTTAAGATTGAAGAAATAACCAGAAAAAGAGCTTATGATATTATTAATTTTGTTGGAGCCACTTGTTTTGGTATCGGAGCTCACATTTCGGAAATTATTTTTCAAATGCAAAGCAATGCTAATTATATACTACCGTTGTCTCACTACCACGAAAAACTGGATTTATACATGTCGACCCCTTGTGAATTCAATAATGATGGAATAGGAAAAACACTGGATTTATCACTAAATGATGAAGAAAAACAAAAGTTTGATGAATGTGTTGAAAAACTTAAAAAAATTATAAAAGAGCACAATAAGTAAAATGTATTAAACACATAAATTATAACCGTAATTGTGTTAGTAATTATAAATTTCTTTTTCGTTAAAAAGATTATAGATATATAATATAAACAATTGATCTGATGATAGGGAAAATATTACAATTGTTGATTATAGCATTATTAATATATGCTATTTATTTATATTTCAATCACAAAGATGTCCCCTTTTTTCACAACATGCTCAGACGTTAGAACAAAAATATTATTTAATTCTACTAAATAATGGTTAATTTTGAAATTTTCAATTTCTTTAATAACAGTTTAAAAGTAACGAAATATCTAATAATGAAAAGGAGTTTTAAAAATTTTACAGGGGATGAAAACGATAAGGATGTCAGCTCGAAACGGATTATTCACAATTTAAACGAAAAAAAAAATGAAAACAATAATAGAAATTTTAAGAACTTTGAAGAAACGAGCAGCAAACCAAACAAACTCCCTGTCGATTTTATTTCCGTACCTAGAGAACAAAAAATTGAGATTCCAGTTGAAAATTTACTAAGTTCAAACTGTCAAAGTTCATTTTCAGCTTCGAAAGAAGAAAATAACAAACAAATTCCAATCGGATCAATTGAATCAATTAAATCTGAATCTACTCTTCAAAGTGATAAATTATTTAAATCCCAAGAAAATTCCACTGCTAAGAGTATAACTGAGAGCGAATCCGACGTTAAAGAAGTTGCAACTCCTGTGAAAAATCTTGAGGTTAAACCGAACCCCGAAGAAAATGCTAAAAAGGATGAAAATTCGATTTTTTCATTTTCTAATTTTGATTTTTCCACAAACACGTCCAGTTTATTTTCTACTTCAAATCTGTTTAACAATTTAAAAACAAATTCATTGTTTTCAGTTGACAATACGAATTCTGTACTTGATGCTAATACCACAAACAACCCACCTTTTAACGCTGAAAATACAGCAGGCCCAGAAGAAAATCTAGAAAATAGAAAATACGACGAACATGCTATAACTAAAACCCCAAACTCCTTTAAAGGAGAAGAAGACGAAGAATTAGTTTTTACTAAGTTCGACGTAAAATTAAAGAAAGTTAATTCTAAAGAAATCGAAGGCACAATTAAGTACTATTCAAGCACTATTGGTGAAGGTTGTGTACGAATTCTTAAATCTAACGAGTCAGATGATTACCGAATAGTGTTTAGAAAAAGTTTCACTTGGAACGTTCTGTTAAATGCGCCTTTCACTACGTTAAACTACGTAGTTAAATTAAGTGAAAAGTCAATTAAATTTTCTTGTTTAGACATTACTAAACTTTTGGCAGCGAGCGATGATAACAACCAAGTTGAAAACCCATTTTCCTTTTTTATACTTTATCTAGCTGACGTTGAAGATACCGAAAAGTTGTACACTATTTTACGAAACAACCAGAAGAAGCCTGTTTTGTCGAAGTAGAATAAAAATTTTGAATTTAACTGTGAGTAACTATTAATTGAGTAGAATCAGTTAGATAATATTATTTTAAAATAGATAGTATAACTATATTGAGTTAATTTTTCAACTTATTTAAATGTACACTATCGAGTTTGTATAAAAATTATGTTATCACAGATTACGTTTTTTTTTAATTATATTAATATTATTTGCAATTTTAAAAAAATAGTATTTTATATTAAACTAGGATTATTAGCTAAGAAAATACGATATTATATTTTATTAAAATTATATCTAAAATATTTTTTGAAATAAAATAGTAAACTTTGTTATTATAAACAAAAATTGACTATAAAATAGGAAAAATAGAATGTTAATTACACAAACGAGACATGATGTAGATTTTTATAAACATGTTGAAATTCAAAGAGATAGAAAAATAAACCATATACGTTCGAAAATACCCATAATTAATTATGAATCCGCTATAGTCGAACTCGTTCGTGAGAACTTGTTTTCGTTAGTTTCAGGAGGCACTGGGTGTGGCAAATCAACGCAAATCCCCCAATTTCTTATAGAATGCGGGTTCAACTTTTCAGTTAGCGATGAAAAAAATAAAACAAAAATATTGAAGATTTGCATGACTCAACCACGAAGAGCGGCTGTTGAATCTATTACAAATAGGCTGAAGTTTGAACTAGGTAGTTTTTCAGAGAACGTTAGTTCGCATATACGTAGCAAATATAACAAATGTTCCTCAGACGAATATTTGGTAATAATGACTGAAGGAATCTTGCTAAACATGATACAATCCGATATACTTTTATCCAATTTCTCTGTTATCATTTTAGATGAGTTTCACGAACGATCGTTGAGCAGTGATATTTTGTTTGGCATGCTAACATATATAGTTAGATTGCGAGCATTTCTTTGGAACAAAAATAAAATAAACATTCCGCCATTGAGGGTGTTGCTTATGTCTGCCACTTATAAGTTGTTTGGGAAACCTATATTAGATTTTGATGCTTTGTTGAACGACTTTTCTTTTCAAAAATTAGAAATTGAAGACAAAATTTTTCCAGTAGCAGTTCACTATGCGAAAAAAACGGTAAAAAACAATCTACCTGCAGTTGCCAGTAAAATAAAGAAAATTCATAACGAGTTACCTGCAGGATCAATTTTAGCGTTTTTACCTGGAAAAAAAGAAATTCAATTTGTGCACAAACTTTTATCAGGCGCTAACAGTAAAAATAACGAAATATCATTTGACGCTGATATCGACAATATCACAGCGGCAAAGCTGCAAGGGTTTGCCGATTCATCAAATAACATCTTGCCACAGTCTGATGACGAATTTACTGACTCAATTGGTTTCGATTTTGATGAAGATAAAAATAACAAGGAACTATCTGTTGATTCTGATATTGGTTCGATTCGCAAAAAAATAAAAACGTGTGAAGCTGCAAGTAATGAAACACTGCTTGAAACAGATCCAGACTCTAATGTTGAACAGGCATCTTTAGATGAACACATCAAAAAAAAAGAATATACAGAATGGAAGGGGGCTGATGGAAATGGCACTTTGACAGTGTATGAATTTTACTCTGGTATTAATGAGCAGACTTTTGCGAAAATTTTCAATGAACCCAAACTTTCTGAAAGAATTGTCATACTAGCAACAAACGTTGCAGAAACTTCTCTGACGCTGCCTAACGTACGCTATGTTGTTGATTCCGGATACATGAAGTATAAAAAGTACAACCAACTGACTTCTGTAGGTAGCATTAAAACTGTTAATATTTCTAAGTCAAACGCTGTTCAAAGAACGGGAAGAGCTGGAAGAGTTGGAAGAGGACATTGCTATAGAATGTATTCTGCAGAGACATTTTCGGAGACAATGAAAAACTTCATGACCCCGTTGCTTCTGAGCACACCGTTAGAATCTATTTTCCTGTATTTAGCCTCTCTGAACTGGCCAGACCTGATTAATTTTAAATTTCCAGACAAAATTAGCACTAACAAAGTTCATACAGCTTGTAAATACCTTGAAAAAAAGGGACTTGTTAAAGAGAAAAAAACTGATGGAGATAAGATTTACTATTCCATCACTCAAAAAGGCATATATGCAGCATCTACACAGTTGCATCCTTCGTTGGCGGCAGCTTTTGTGCGATTTTACCAAGTCCGTTTTTTAGAATTGAACGTAGAAGATATTTTTCTAGCACTTCTGTTGTTGCATATATGGGCTGATATTGTTGATCTATTCTTTCCGTTTAGTCTTTCAATATTAACTGAAAAACATCTGATGGACGATTTATCGCTTGTTGTGATGGTTTTAGATGTTATATTTACGAAAGAGCAGTTTTATGACGAATTGTCGTTCGATTTTAAAGTTTTTTTTATGAAGTTATCAAAAAAGTTTATAGACGCCTTCTGTTCGTTTAAAAGCTGCGCTACCATGGTTAATAAACTAATATCTGCTAATAATTTGACGGACGGAAGTGAATTGTCGTTACAAATGGTAACCGGTTTGATTAGATCAAAAATGCAATTAAAGTCTTTCTGGAAAAAGCATTCAGCCAAAATTCACTCTATCGCTGAAACGTTGAGAACGTGCATCATATTGGAAAACTTTGACCAATGTGCGATTAGGTTTAAACTAATGCACTCTTTGGGAAGTGAAAACAAAAGACCTAATAATCTTTATAAACAGAAAAAGTATTCGTATTATATCAAAAACTCAGGCACAAATGAAAACATCGAAATAAACAAAAACAGTTTTCTATTTTATGATAAACGCAGACCAGATTTTATTTACTATAGTTTTAAAGTGAATGCGGAAGAAAAAGTTTTGCTAACTGGAATATTAATCCCAGAGTCATATTTGTTAATTAAAAAGATTCTGGATTCAGAAAATAAAAAGTCAGAACTATTAAATCAATATTTAGAAAAAAAATAAGAGAAAAAGCTGCTTCGCTGCAGGCTAAGCTTTTAAGTCCGTAAAAACAGTTTCCAAAAACGTTTTCTTATGCGGTTTGGAAAGACTCTTATAAATGTCAAAACCAACTGGATGTTGCAAGAGATCAAAACATCCAGTTCCTAAGTTAATGCGCCTACCTAAAATAATTGACTCTGAAACTCCACAAATTTTTTCTTTTTTTTGGAACGCTGCTGCTTCAAACAAGTGGTCGTTTGTTTGTTCAAAACTTGCTAAACACAAAACAGATGATTTCATTTTTTCGATTCCTTGTCTGCTTATTCCTAAGACTTCGCCGCGTGATGTCATGACGTCTCCTAAAAGAGCAACGTGTCTAATGTCTATTGATATATTATAAGCATTTAAACAGTCGAAAACTTCATTGATGATGGACTGTCGCGCTGCTTCAATACCTAAGACCTGAGAAATCTCCATAATATTATTATATTTAATATGATTAGTATCTATTCCTTCAGTGTTAAGTATGTTTAAAAGTCCAGTTCCTTGAGCTACTAAGTTATATTCAATAGCTTTTGTGTCAGGGTTGGTGTTTTCCGTTATTATCGCCTGCTTAATAGAGCTCATGCCGCTGATCGGCACCTTTTGCAATTCTTGAATTAAATTATGTATTTCGAATGACGTAAAATCTTGATTTTTAGGCTGTGGTGGATAAATAATAAACTTATACTTATTTAAAGCTTTAAAACTGCAAGCCCGAATAATCTTTTTTTTAATTGCACTCGTGTCTTTGATTCTGGAAATTACACTTTCTGAATCGATGGGCAAGAAGTTCTTTTTGATCAGCTCGTCATTTAATTGAATTACTAAAGTCACTTGAAAAGCCGAAATAGTTTCTTCTATCCATTTGCAAATACTGCCTAATCTTATGCACAAAATTTTTGCTTGAATCATTTGAGCATAGTAATAACTGGATTTATTCAAAGCAAGTGGAATTGTGAAAATCGGACTACTTATGTTTAGTGTAGCATTGATGATTTCCTTTAAACGCGGTACTCCTAGCGTGACGTTCATACTGGCAACTCCTGCGAAGTGGAACGTTTTCAGGGTCATTTGAGTTCCAGGTTCTCCAATTGATTGCGCACTTATGGCTCCTACTGGGTCTCCTGGATGTATTTGTGCTTGTTGGAATTTAATCCACAAAAACTGAATGAGTTTATAGAGTATTTCTAAATTCGTTAATGATTTGATAAAAAGAATATTTACACTGGATGGAAACTGTCCAAATGAACTGAAAAGAGCCTTTGGAATAATTAATAAACGGCAAGTAAAAGGAGTAACTGGTATGTGCGAAAAATGAGTCGGAAACTTGAACTGCTGATAAAAATATGCGTAGTCTTTAATCTCTTGATAATAGTCTTCCCAAGTAAGCGCAGGATTTTGGCCAGAGAGAATTCTCCTATCAACTTCAGACTTAACATGTTTTCCAGCCCAAAGTCTGATTTGATCAATAAATGTCTTTTTAGTTAAATTGATTTTTGGGTCATTTGGATGTTCAGCTTCGTATTGGGTAGTGAATGAAAAAGTCGATGTCTCAGTACAATATTCTCTCAACATGAAAATCAAAAACCCAACCCATTGAATTATTTCATAAGGTAATAAAGGTAGTAGCCGAACTGCAGGTAAGAAATCATCATGTATTAATTTCCAAACGAGTAAATTGTCACGAATTGTGTTTAAATATTGATCGGAAGTTTTAGTAACATCTGAAAGATACTCTAACAACTGTTGGTAAGAATAGTACGAGTTCCCGTTTTCTATACAAATTTTAAGACTTTCGAGTTTTTGCAGAAGCAATTTAGGAAAGTTAGGAATATGTTTGCAAAAGTTGGTTTTTTTTAAAAAATTTGGCAATTCTTTGTAATAGTAATCAAGATCGGTTGGCGGTAAAAAACAAAATTTCGCTACATTAAGGCCATTTATAAAAGGCTGGTTGGCGATTAAAGTACTGTTAGGCATTTGCAATGCCATTAAATCTGCATCCAAAGTAATTTGTAATATTTGCCCTAGTGTTAATACCCGCATTCTACATATATGTTCATAAATTTTGTCAATGTCGAATGGTTGTTTGCTGGAGTTGATCAGTTGCACGTTGAGAGAGTCGTCTCCGTAAACAAATTGAACAATGTGTTGAGATGAAGTTCTCAAAGTATTATCGTATCGAATGCTTAAATCTTCTAATGCCTTGACAAGTCGTCTCTGTAAATAACCAGTTTCGGCAGTTTTTACTGCGGTATCGACTAGACCTTCTCGACCAGACATTGTGTGAAAAAAGAACTCATCTGGATCTAATCCAGAATAAAAACTGTTTTGTACAAATCCTTTTGCTCGTGGAGAGTCGCTTTCTTCAAACCAGAAGTGAGGCAAAGTTCGTCCAACAAACCCGTTCCAAATACGTTCTCCGTTTACATTTTGTTGCCCAATTAAACATGTCATTTGCGCAATATTAATTAAACTTCCTTTTGATCCAGAATAAAACATAATCAAAGGCTTGTTAAGCGGATGCAAGTGTTTAATGCATTTTTTACCAGAACCCTCTCTGACAGAATCGAGTATAGACTTTGTTCTACGTTCTAAGGTTTGCTTAACAGTGCTTCCCGAATCGGGAATAAGTAGTTTCTGGGAATACTCTTTGTTGAAAAAATCTATTTTTTTGTATGCTTCTACAATTAGCTCTTTGTTATCTTCACTGATCGCTGAATTTGGAGTAACGTCTTCAATCCCTATAGTCATACCTCTTTCAGTCAGCCAGCGCCCAAACAATTTGCTAAGTCTGTTCAAAATAACGATACATGCGTTGTTTGAATTGTACTCTATTAAAAACGCAATCAAACCGTGTTTATTACCTGAACCTAATACGGATTTTCCTAGTGTACCACAGATAATTTCTGATCGCTGTATAATAACATATCCATCATTTCTGCACATCCATGGATATTTCGGGTTTGACTTGGAATAATTCTTTTCTGCCAACTCTAAGGAAACTAATGTTGGGTCTTCTTTATGAGACCTAATTAACAAACCATATAACTGTTTTCCTGTCCAAAGCTCGACAGGTTTAATAATCGCAGGAATTGGAATATCAATTTTCAATAACGCATCACAAAAATAAGAAACATACTGAGTAATTTGAAATCTAGTAAAAAAAACGTCCTTGTAAGTCATGAGCCAACTACCACTTAGAAAATCTTGTGTGGCAGCAACAACAGGCGATCCGTTTCTCGGTGTTCTTAAGTTTTCTTTAATACTCATCAAAAACTTAGCTTCGGCTTTTGCTTCTTCAGTCTGCGGGAGATGAATATTCATTTCATCTCCATCAAAATCTGCATTATATGGTCCACAAACACATTCGTTGAATCTTAGAGTGCGTTCTGGGAGTACAGTAACATTATGGCACATAATTGACATACGGTGCAGAGAGGGCTGTCGATTAAATAATACGTAATCATTGTTGGCCAAATGACGTTCAACAATATCTCCTACTTTTAAATTGTCTGCAATTGATTTACACTGGACAAACCGCAAAGAAATTTTTTGTTTTTGTGCAAGTTTAGTAACTGAAAACGCTCCTGGCCAGTTATTTGGTCCGTTCAAGATGCATTGCTTCAATTTTTCTATGTTGAAAATAGTTACTTTTTCGGGATATGTCATTCGCTTAGCGCAAAATTCTGGGATTACTACATTCTCTACGCTGCAGTTGCAATCAGGACTAATAACTGTTCTACCACTAAAATCTACACGCTTACCACTGAGATTACCTCGAAAACGTCCGTCTTTACCTTTTAAACGTTGAGACACACCTCTTCCTTGTCTAATAACATTTCCTATCCTAGATAAGGAATTTATAACATTGTTAAGCTGAGGATAATCAGAATTTATAAATCTAACGTACTGAACTTGTAAGATGTCACGCAAACTTTGAATTTTGTTATAGTTGTTACCGTTCTTGATAGCATCTTCAAGTTGAATGGAAGCAAATATAATATCCTTGAGTACGATGGTCAGATCGTCTTCGTTCGTACCAGAATCCATTAAATTTATCGATGGACGAATCGATGATGGAGGTATTGGAATTACTTTCATAATGAACTTTTCCGGGTTTTGAGTAAAAATTAAAGCTCTATCGTTTTCAGGTATCTTTTCAAAAAAAGAATAAATCATTTCCGGTGTTAATTCAACTGTATATTTAGTGTTTGAAGTTGAACCGTTAGTGCTCTGCAGTTCGTAATAGAATTTCATAAAAGAATCTGCCCTTGATAAGTTTACCTTCTTTATTGTTCCTCTGGGCTGACTGCAATATTCACAAACATCTTGTTTTTTGCAAATCTCAATTAGTTTGGAAAACAAAGAAGCTTTAATTAGTATATCTCTGCTAGAGTATTCGATTTTTCTTTTAAAAAATTTTCTGATAGATGAGGGCAAGCACAATCTACTACACTTAATACAAATCGATTGAAGAACGGCAGTTACATATTTGATGTAGCCAGGATGAATTATAGGAAAGGGCAGTACGAAATATCCCCAATGTCCTACGCAGTTTTCGTGGTCTTGGCTACAGGTGCTACATGAATTAGAATCAAACGTTAATAAATTACCATTATCTTTTCCTATGCCCAGTGCCGGATCTAGAAGCCCAAACTTAGCTGGTTTATTAGAGTTATACAAAACTGGATGCACTATTCTTATAACAGCATTTCTCAAAATTTCATTGTGTGAAAATGTATCAAACTTCAGGCTGTCAATTACCCAATAATTTTCAGAAACAGTTGCAAATTCCTTTGTAAAAGTATTCATAATCAAGCAATATTAGAAATCTGGTAATGCCTGCGGAGGTATATATCCTCGTAACTAATTTTGTGGCATCAGTTACGTACGAAAAAAATATGAAAATTTATATTTTGAAAAAAGAGTGGTTATGCTGTAAAAAATAGCGAAAACACCTTCATAAATTATATTAAGCGGAAATGAGACATTAGGATTTTATTATTTCTTTTTGATAATTTTTATTAAGTATTATATTTTTGCTTGTTAACAAATCTGGACAATTAATTCTATTTGATTAAAAGATATTGTTAGAACCATAAATTATTTATGCAGATTGGAATTCCTGTAAAACTTTTGCATCAAGGAACAGGGTTTACAATTATCGTTGAGTTAAAAACTGGAGAATGTGCAAAAGGTATTTTAATCGATGTAGAAGATAATATGAATTTGTTAATAGAAAATGTTTTGTTTACTCAAAAGAATGGTGCAAAATCAAATCAAGGAAAAATTTTTATTCGTGGTTCTCAAATTGAATTTGTGATTCTTCCCAGCATGCTTTCTTACTCACCCGTGTTCAAAAAAAACAACTTAGAAACACCTGTGGCAGTAATAAAAAAATAATTCATAACCTTACAAATATTATTGGTCGTTTGATTTATTTTATTTGTTTATTTTAAGTTACTTGAAATTGAAAAGTAAAAAAAATTTTTTTTATATTACTTAGAAAAAATAGTATCTTTTGATATAACTAGGTTTCGTGCTGGTAACGAATGTCTCTGTCTAATGAGAAAGCACAAAACAATGCGTCAGATGTAAAAAATGATGATACATCTTCTGTGAATAATGCGTCCAGTAACAGCCCGCCTGCTACATCAAAAAAAATTAGTTTTGACTCACTTCATCAAGGTGGAATAAGTCGAGCAGTTAGTTCGGCGAATCTCACATCTTTCCCAAAAGGCAGTAGAAGCGCAGGCCTCAGAGAGGCGAGAGAAGCAGCTCAAATGGCTGCCGATGATAAACGATTTGATAAAAGCCGATCGTTTTTTACGAGTAATTTTAAATCGTCACGATCATTTAATCAAGAATCCGCATTGAGTTCAAAACCCTCACTTAAATTAAATTCACAGTTGTACGAGTGTTTAGATATTAAACCTAAAAAGATAGATGAGCGTTGTAATGAACCAAGTTTTAAATCGTCTGAAACTGCAGAAAACTCCGTCTTTAAAGCTAATCTTCTAAATAAGTCTTCTAGACAGCTAGGTTTATCTTCTATTAAAAGCAATATCTACTCATCTACTTCTCAATATGACAACAAGAATGAAGAACATAGCAGTAGATTTAATTCTTCGTCTGTAAATTCCTCACGTTCTAAAGTATTTAGCTCTCGTTCACTTGATTACTATAATCAGCCAACGCAGCAAAAATTCTCTCAAAACATGACTTCAAAAGTAGATTCAAACAGTCTTTCTGAATTTTCTTTCAGCCCACTTGCTTCAGAAATCTCGATTAACAATGTCGGGATTAAGTCAAAAGCCGTTGACACTGCTTCCAAACCTTCTGAATCGATTGCTTCTTGTGTTGAAAATGCTTTGAAAAGCTCTAATGTAATATCTGAAGAAGAAAAACAAGAACTTGAAAAGCAAAACAAATTGCTCGCCGAACAAAATGAATTATTGGCTGAGCAAGCTGAATTAGCCAAAAAAAAAGAAGCGGAGCACAAAACTTTATTAAAAGGCCATACACTGATTGGTGATGTTGATACCATTAAAGTTGTTTCTAAAGTTCTTAGAGACATTTTGTCTAGGAGACCTTCAAAGGAAGAAATCGGACAAATGCTGTCTGGTATTGAAGATGAGTGTAACTTGAAAGAAAGTTCATTAGGTCTAGCTGTTCTATTTGCTGAAGTTTACCGACTATTGCTGGTACAATTAGTAGTTTATGACGAAAGTGTTCCAATCAAGACATTTATTGAAAACAATATAATATCCTTCCTGAGAACTTTATGTCCAACCGTCAAGCAAGTTATTGAAATTTTGAAAGAAATGCTACAGTCGAAATCCATGTACTTTAACTTAATAATGTTTCAAGAATTAGCTCGTATATCTCCCGGGATAGGTATTATCAGAATATCCCCATCGCAAGAACACAAACTTGTTATTATAGTGTATAAAACATTTTTAGAATGTGAGGTTTTTAATCTGGAAATGTTCCAAGAATGGTTATCCTATAAAGATGATATTTGTGAAAACAAATTCACAACAAAATCTATTTTATCCCGTTGGTTATCAGATTATGACTATGAAAATTTAAATTCTTCGAGTGATTCAAATGATTCTAGTGCGTAATTTAAATTTTTGAATCCATACGGTTAGAACACGATAGCTCTATATTTTATTTGTTTTTATCATTTGATTTGTGTTGCTTTCATAATAATAAAAAATTGTAGTATAGAGCATGGTTTTATTTTAAATTAAATTACACGTGGATATGCGTTAATATTGGTTCTGGATAATTCAAACAGGTGTTCACATATTCAAGTCGATACGTTTGAATTCTCGATATGGGTTGTAAAGGGTTACACCAAGCAATTAGAGAAAATACAAGATTTGTCAGTGTAAAGCAATTTTCTCATAAAAGATGTGCCATTGATGCTTATAGTTGGCTGCATAGAGCTGCTTATTCTGACGTGAAACAAGTTACAAGCGGTTTGGTTAGCAAGAAAGTGACTGCTTCTATTATTCGCAAGGTGAAAACCTTGCTTAATTATTCAATTGATTGTGTTTTCGTTTTCGATGGTGTTTCACTACCAAGTAAAAAAAAAACAGATGAATTACGAAGGTCTCAAAGAGCAACTTCTTTAGAGAAAGCTGCACAATACCGAAATAAATCTGATAGAAAGAATGAATTTAAATATTTATCGGCAGCTGTAAGCGTGTCTTGGGAGCAGGTTAAAGATTTGATTGATAATTTAAGAGAATTGAATATAAAATACTTAGTTGCTCCATACGAAGCTGATTCACAACTAGCTTTTCTGAATTATCAAAATTACGTTGATTTTATATTTTCAGAAGATAGTGACTTGTTACTGTATGGCGCCAAAGTGATGCTTACAAAATACGAAAGCGACGGAACTTGTATCATGATTAAACAAGAAGCATTGATACAGTGTGACATTCTGCCAGTAAGATATTCGACCTCTGCAGTGTGGACGTTGCTTTGTTGTTTAAGTGGCTGTGATTACACGGATGGAATCAAAGGTATTGGAATAAAAAAGGGCGCTAAAGTATTAGTTAAGACGTTAGAAATGTTGGAGATTGACGTACACAACATTGCTGATGATCAAATAAAGAAAATTTTTAAAAAGGCTTGTGAACAAATTACCGATCATTTGTCTGAAAACACAGAGATAATTGATGAATTAACAAACGCCTTCTTGACTTTTCGTTATCATTGGGTTTATGATCCAATATCCCAACAGTGTGTTAATATTTCTAAAGTAGAAAATTGTTCAGCTGAAATTTCTGCGCTGATCGGCCCAAAAATAGAAAATGACGAGTTAAAAAAATTGGTTTCAGGTTCTATACATCCTATTACAAAAGTTAAAGAAGCAAAACAATACGAATACGAGTTGAATTTAAGTCAATTAAACAATTTTGGTGATATCGAATCCGACGAAAAAGAAAATATAGATCATTACAATGAAACTATTTTTTCAAAGCCTTTGAAACGAAGATATGCAACTGTTAAAAAAAACGCTCCAGAAGTTGAAACATTTCCAAACATAGATGAGCTGTTTCCATTGTTAGAAGAACTTAAAAAAAGTAAACAGAATTAACGGTCTGAAAAACAATTTTAGTATTTGGTATTTTTTTGTGTGCATGTATAAATATTTTTGGTTAGTTATTTGATATCAAGCGTTGGATTTGATATAACAATATGCTAACAAACCTTTAATCGTTATTTTATAATAGCAGGTATATATGTATTTATTAATTAATTACACGTTCTGCAAATGTGATTATGTGGGATAATAATAAAAAAAACATAAATAATTTTTTGATTAGCGTGTTGGTTTTGAATGCACGCAACACGTGGATAGTATGCTATGATTGAAAGTTTTTTAGTGGAAAGAGCCGCCGAGTAAGTTAGTATTTTCTTACATATTGTTCACAGCTATCTAATCCCGGCGCAAGAAGTAAATAAACTTTTACTATATGGATTCATATGTGCGTTAAGCGCTCTGGTTTATTTGTTTGGAGAAATTTTACTACGTTATACTAGATATTTAGCCGGATTTGAAGTAGAATCTGTGATGAGTTCGATAATGACGATTTTCCTAGTTACAATGCTGTCTGCTGTTTCTCTTTTTTGCGCGCGACCTGCGAAAATTTGGCTAAACCGCAACTACATATGTTTTGAAATAGTTTTGTTTGTTATATTGTTACTTTGGCAAGCCCATAACTGTCTAAGAATGGGTACTAACTATTTTATAGCTTTACGAGGAATAGAGTTCAAAGAGGATGAACTCCTATCACTGTCTTTTACAAACAGTGCAGCTAGCAAATATTCAAATGATGTCAAACTGGTAAGTTACGCAGCAAATAAAAATTATAGACAATTACAAAACAAGCATTTATCGCTTCTGCAATACAGTTAGCTTGTGTAGCAATTTACTTGATTAATTTTTTGTAAGTTAAAAAATCTAATATGAATTTGAATTTTGTTTTAGTCTAATTGTTCTAAAACATAGAAAATTAGTAAGATTAAATAATATTTCAATCACAGATTTAGTTAATAGCGCGCTCGAATCTGTTTAAGTGCGTTAAAAATAAACAACTCTGATAGTTAAAAATGGCTTCAAATATACAGCGAAGGAAAAAGACGATCGTAGAGAACGAACCTTTTACATATAGCGTAAGCCCATCGTTTATTGACGAGTTTAACGGATTTTTAGGCGTTAGGGAAACTTATAATAAGATTGTGATTTCTTTTTGGTTGCTTAGCGCAGGGTTGCTACTTTCGTGCATTATTTTGTGGAAGTCAATGTCTAAACTAAAGTTTGAAGTCGCTTTTGACGATATGGTAAAACTGTTTCCTACCGCAACTTGGTTTTTTATCAGCAAGAAAACTTTGTATAACTTTATTCAACAGCTTATTAGACTCAACAATGACTATGACTTATTTCATAAGTTTTTACTAATTAGTGTACTGTTAGCAGTTATTTTGCTAATTCTCGGCTATTATTTAGGCAAGTACATGGACGAATTACGTAAAGAGAAAAAAAATTCCGATGAAGTTAAACACCAATAATGCATTCGATTTTCGCCCGCAGTTGATTGTTTCCGTGTTTAAGTGGTCTAAAATATTTTTGCTTCGAAGCTTACGTGATTAAAACTTACCTTAAATTTGAACTAAGAACGAGAATACTTTCTTTAAGGGATATAACCACATCATTTTCGAAAAGCTCAGAAGCTGCACAAAGTGCCGTTACAATTTTTTCATTGAGTTTTAAACTAATATCTTCGGAATAATTGATTTTCACGTTGTATTGGTCTTGATTAAATGATAATACACTGATCTCGTTGCGAGAAATATTTGATGAAACTGAAAATTTCAACATAGGTTCGCCTCCAAAAGAATTCACAACGCTGATTTGCAGCTTTGCGATGTCTTTTTTTTTTAGAAATTGTAAAGCATTTTGGGCTAGTGACGCGAACAGAAAGGTTGTTATCTCAATTTTTGAAGCGTATGTAAAAGTAGAAAATGGCTGAAGTATTTTTGTTTCGTAATCGATAACCGGCAAGATATGTTTATGAAATGTGTTATCTTCGAATATCTTTATAAGAGTGATGTTTTTTCCAATTTGTACTTTCAATTTAGAATTCGGGTAAGCTTTGGCATTTAAAAAATAAAGATTTAAACTGTCGAGCGAGACAGTAGCACCAATTGTTTGTGAATATTCGAACTTATAGAAAGATGAAGTCGGAATTTCAATCGAAGCAACCGTCGAATAAGCAATCTGTTCTAGGTTCAAATGGAGGCCAGTCTCAGTAACATTAATATTAACGTGCTCTTTTTCACTTATGCATAATTTGTTTAGAGTGTAAACAGCATCTTCTAAATACTGCGTATTTAGAACTTCACATTCAAACATTGACTGTAATACTCAAGTAATTTATAGTTAATTATGCGAAAAAAATCTTTAGAAATTATTATTTGTAAACAACACGGTTTTAGATTTAAAATTAGCTGCAGACAATTGATAAAAAGCAGTCACTATGTATTTTTTTATTAAATTCATATTTCAAGCTTTTTGACTTGCTCCCATATAAACTGTGGCCGGCCAAAATGTCCATACGTGGCCGTTTCGCTGAAAATGGGCGCGGTGAGGCCGTAGCTTTTGATGATGGCACCAGGCCTAAAATCAAAATTTTTTTTGACAATAGTTTCGAGGTTTCTGTCTGACAAGCCGGACTTAGCAGTCTTATAAGAATTTACATATATAGAAACAGGGTCAGCAACTCCGATGGCGTATGAAACTTGAATAAGAACTCGAGAGCACAGATTGTTTGCAACAAGGCATTTAGCTGCGTGTCTAGCAGCGTAGGCAGCAGACCTGTCAATTTTAGTGCAATCTTTTCCTGAAAAAGCACCTCCTCCGTGCGAGCCCCAGCCGCCGTACGTGTCAACAATAATTTTACGTCCAGTTAAACCAGCATCTCCATGCGGCCCTCCAACGGTGAATTCTCCGCTTGGATTCAAAATATATCGTGTGTTTTCATCTAAAAATTGTTTGGGGATAATTGGGGTGATAACGTGGGTTATGAGGTCTTCTCTAATTTTCTCGATGCTGACGTCCGGAGTATGCTGAGTTGAAATGACTACTGTGTTGACGTGTTTAGGCACCAGTTGTTCATTTTCATGTTGTTCGTATTCTACAGTCACCTGAGTTTTGCCGTCTGGGCCGACCCAGCGCAGAATATTTTTTTTCCTGACTTCGCTCAATCGCAAAGCGAGTTTGTTTGCTAGCAAATGAGACAGCGGCATCAGTTCTTTAGTTTCGTCACATGCGTACCCAAATACCAATCCTTGATCGCCAGCTCCTACATCGTCGAGACTTTTGTTTAAGTGAACTGACTTCGCAATTTCAGGAGATTGTTCATCTATCATTACTTGAATTTTGCAAGTTTTGTAGTCTAGTCCTTTAGCTTTAGAATCGTATCCAATTTCTTTTAGTTTGTTTCGCGCAATGGACTCGTAGTCTATAACTCCCTTTACACTAATTTCTCCAAAAATAAAAACGATTTCGTTCTTGACTGCACATTCACAAGCCACTTTCGCTTGGGGGTCCAGTGCCAAACAAGAATCAAGAATAGCATCAGATATTTGATCACAAATTTTGTCTGGGTGGCCCTCTGTGACCGATTCTGACGTGAACAAATAAGAATACATTTTTTCGCTGACAGAAGAAAATAATTTTAAAATACCAAATATTTTTGTTTTTCTATAAAATTAATAAAGTATTTAATAATGGTTATGAGGCTTGACTTTTAAATTGTAAATAGATTTAATAAATATACAAAAATGCTTTATTATGGATCCTGGATTGTACTCGTTTGGACAATTTGAAAAAGCGCCTGAAGAAGAGCAGATTTGCTCGAAAAATAATTTAGACGAAAATGATCAAGAGTTAGATGACATCGCAGACCTAATTGGTAGTTTCAATTGGTCGAGCGACACCGTTGAAAAGGCAGCAACTGTAATTTTAAACCCCAATTCTGGCGAGGACGAGTTGGTAGACGCAGTTTTCTTGATAAAACAGATGTTGTGTACAACTAGAGACGAAGTGTACCCGTTGGCGCAAGAAGTCATTGACAGCGGTTTGCTCAGAGCGTTTGTAAGCTATATTACTAGCCATCACACGTCCAAGTACTTGAAACTACAGTGCTGCTTTTGTCTAACAAACATTGCTGCTGGAACAGACGAGCAGACTGCACATGTCGTAGCAGCCGGAGCGATTCCTCCGCTCATTGATTTGATCGATTCTTACGACAATCAGTTACGTAGACAAGCTTTGTTTTGCTTGGCTAACATTGCTGGAAGCACGAATGAGTATCGAAAAATCCTGATGTCGAATCCTCAATACTTAGCAAATATTGCTTCGACCATGAGTACTATCAAAGACGAAAAAATAGAAGAACTTGCGGGCTGGAATGTTAGAAACATCCTTGTACTCGGTGGTCTGAGTATGAAAGCGCTTCTGCCCGCCATAAATTTGTACGTAGAAAAACTAAAGTCTTATGTGCCCAAAAAAGAAATCATGGAAAAACTCTTTTTCAACCCTTCTGCAGCAGACACCGCCAACAATAACACAAGCAACAATATGGCATTTCTAAATGTTGACCTCTTTTCTCCAAAGTATTTCTTGGTCGGTCCCTTGAGTGGAAACACACACATTTTAAGGTTTATCGCAGAAAGCTTCTCAGTGTTATCTCAAAACTCCGAGTATTGTGAGCTTTTTGTTTCTATGGACACAGTAATGGCGCTGACTTATGTGGCGAAGTTCTCTTATCAACATACTATTCGTAACTGCTGTCTGTCTACGCTCTATAACATTAGCAAGTTTGGCACGCCCAGAGCGCTGGAAGAACTTGATAAAGGGCAAGTGTTGAATGTTTTGATAGAGTTGATTGGCAACAGCACCACATATGGTATTAAACAGCGTCAGCTGGCTTTCGCTATTGTTTATTACATAATATCGCACTACAACGAAAAGCAGGTTAATGCATTTTATTTCCCCCAAGTCTACATAAAAAATTCCAACACCAAATCAACAGGTATTGAAGGAATGTTTGATTTTTCAGAGTCTCAACAGTTGGGCGCGATCCAAGACTTGAATCCCGGTTGCATCTCGTTCTTCGAGTTGGTTCTCCGGACTATTCAACAGACCGATGGCTGCGATGACAATATTCTTATTTTCTACGCCTGCTGTACGTTTCTTACTATACTAAACAAATCCAGTGACTCTATTTTGAATATTCTTTTATTAAAACCATTCATCGATTTTCTGATGGTCGTTAATGACCGGGTGGTTGAGTGTTTTAGAACTTTTAAAACGGAAGCAGATTTTTTGTTAGATGTAAAAGCAGCCTTTGACGTAGGAATACGCGTTTTCGAACTGATTAATAAACTAACAAAATTTTCTTCAACTGTATCATCTGTAGGTTCAAACTGCCTGTACGAAATTCTTCATAACATAGGTGGCTTTCAAAAATTGTCGGTGTTGGCACAATTTTTGCCTCACCACAACAACCACGTGGCAACGTTCAATACTTTTGCTATGTTGTACAATTAAAATTCACCCTAATCCTCCAAGCCAAATTTGTTGTTTGAATAGCCAGAGAATAGCAGATTGATTGGTTCCGAACCTTTGGCATTATCTAAAGTCTCAAGGTCGATTTTCGGCGCGACTTTCTCCGTTTTTGTCACATTTATAGATTTATTTTCCGTATTGTGCTGTTTTATGTTTTGTTTATTTTCATCAGAAGGCTCAAGAGTAGCTTGTGACCATTTTTTTTTTACTGATTTTTTTGATATTAAATCTCCTATGGAGTGTACCTCTTCTTTGTCTGCTTTTTTATTGCTATAAGAAATCGTAAATAAATCATTGGACTTGTCAAAAGTTTCAATTTTGAGTTCGATAAAAGGTTTTCTGTTATCGACAGAAGAGAAATTACCAAAATCGTTGGCCGAGCAAAAAGTTATATTATGTGTTTTCTGGATTAAATTTGTTAAAGTAACAACATCCTGCCTTAGATTGTTCATGTTTACTGTTTCTTGTAGTTTTGTATGAAAATTTTCAAGTAAATCGGCATGTAGTTCAAACGGTAAAACGTTTAGCAACGACTGAAAAACTTTCTTGAGTTCCAAGTTGAGTCTTTTTGCAAACGGGGATCCGCAAATTCTTGCGTATGAAAGGTACATGAGTGCACAACTATCTCGACATTTGGTTAAAACTCGTTCGTTTGTTAAAGCTAAAGCACAGATTTGAAAAAATTCGTCCAATTTTGTCACAATTTCTTCAAAAAGCGCTAGTGCGGCCAAATTATTGACTTCGTTTTCAATATCATTACTAAAATTGCCTACTACCCACATAACAAACGCTAGTAAATATATATAGTTTTTTAGAGATGATAATGAAGCTTGTTGCTCAACAAGCAAATAGCTTTGCACTTTGCTTACTGCGCTGCTCATTGAAATAGTGGAAAAAACTAATCGAGACTTGAGGTTAAATGTGGGTGCGTCAGTATCTGAACCAACGTTATTATCGTCATTTGTAGGTGGTTTATTAAGACTTTCAACACTTAGTTTGTTGATCGAACTTATTACCAGATCGATATGTTTTTTTTCAATGTTGATAGGGTACCGTACAAATATTTTGTAAAATTCCTTGACAGCATCTTCAATTGTAGTAGAATGTGCATTTATAATAGACAGCATTGAATCAATAGCTTTAGTTTGATAGAAATAATTTTTATGGACTTGATCTATTAACAATTCGATGATCTGATTTTTGTTGTCCGGGTTTGCTGCCAGTGTCAGCACTTCCAAAAGAGACTCAACGATATATTCGTCGTTAAAGTTTAACAACTCGATTATATGCGTTTGAAACATCGTTATGATTGAAGTGTCCAATTTCACAATTTCTTTCATCAGTGTAATGCCTGTTAAAATAATGTTGGGATTGCTTTTTTCAAAAAATAGCTTGATACTTTTCATCGACGTTTTGATTAGACTGAAGTTCAGTTTATTACGATATATTTGAAACAAGACTTCGTACAGCAAAATAAAGTCGTCGTTAACTATGTGTTTGTTTACCTGTAAAAGAGTGAGAAAAATTTCTTCGAGACGATTAACTGTGTTACTCTCGAATTCGTAAAAGTTTGTCAAATGAAGCAGTTCTATGAATTGTTTAATGATCAAAGTAAGTGTAGGTAAGCAAACTTTATAGTAGCTTCGTCGTAACGTGTTTGACAGTTTTTCTAGATAATCAAAACTAGTTTCAACGAGTTGAATAGTGTGTGTGTTTTTTTGACTGTCTTGCTTGTTCAAATTTAAACGAGAATAATAAGCAACTGCAACTTGCAGAACGTTTAAAAAAACCGTTGGAGCATTCGAATGAATGCAGCTAATTAGTATGTCCTCCAACGGTAGGTTTTGATGAATTAAATAGTCAACCTGACTTCGTAGTACTGTCAAAGCAGAGCTGCTAACAAATATGTTTCTAGACGAGCATAGTTTAAGTATAATTTCGATCAGTAGATTTTTTGAATACTCGTTTATGTGTTCCTGACAAAAAAACAAAGCCGTCAATACGGAGTGAAACGATTTGCTGTTTAAATCTTTTTGTAAACTGTTGGTAAGCATTACAGCAGAAAACTGTTTCTCTGAACGCAGTATTAATGAAAGTATTATGTAACATAAAAACTTGGTCCATTCAATGGATTTCTCAGATAAAATAATGTAAATGGAGATATCGTGGCAAACGATTCGGCCGCGTAACGTCACGTAAAGAACTCTCAATAATAAATCATTAATGGAACGATTGGCTTTTAACAGGTCTGTAACCGATTCGGTTTCCTGAAAAATTTCAATTAATTTTCTATATTCTTTGTAAACAACATCAGCTTCAGCCTGTCGTGATTGAACGTGTGAGATCTGTTGAATGAACTTGTTAAAACTGAAATAGTTAACTGCAGCTTTGACTAATTTTATTGAATATTCCATCAGTTAACATAATAAACTAGCTTCTTGTCTGAAAGTTCGATAAGAAAATTGATAATATTCTAAAAATTTATTTTTGCATTATTTATTTACGGAGTCTTGAAATATTTTGAATGCTAAATTTATGAAAAAGAATGAAAAAAACATAAAAGTAAAAGTCAATAAAAGTGAGCAAGTCGGTCAAAAAAATAAAGCAACCAAAGAAGTGCAGTTTAAAACGAATCTTGGTGGCAAAAAAGTCAGAAATCTCAGTTCTGAAATACTGCTTCGTCTCTCGCAGGATCAGAACCAGCTCAACGAAGAATACGAAGAAGAATTAAAAAAGAAATTAGAGGAAAATGCGGACAGAGAACAGCCTCGTGTGTCTCTAAATGTAAATAAAAAATTTATGAGCATTCAGACTTCGTCAGTGCTCGAAGCTGACGTTATTATTGAGGTTTTAGATGCGAGACACCCTCAAGATTTCAGGAATGAAGCGTTAGAGGCGCTGACAGACAAGGAAAATAAAACACTGGTGCTGCTTTTGAATAAAGTTGACTTGGTTCCTGACGCGGCTACTGTGGAAAACTGGCTGAAATATTATTCGCAGTACTATTATTGTTGCAGTTTTCGATCTATAACAACGAAAAGTCGCAGCAAGCACTCCTCGACAGAAAATCTGAAGACAAAAGCCTATCAGGCTAGCAAAGAGCAGTTGAGCAGCGGTTACTCGCCATTAGGGTGCTATCAACTAATGAATATTCTAAATAAAATAGCTCGCAAAGACACGACTGGTTCTGACGCGGCTCCTAGACCAATTTCTGTAGTTTTTGTAGGGTACCCTAACGTGGGGAAAAGTAGTGTCATTAATAGCATGATGCGTAACACAAAGCACGCGGTGACTGGCAACAAACCCGGTGTTACAACTAGAAAAAGCGATTTTCAACTGTTTAGTAATATTAAACTTAGTGACACCCCCGGTGTTTTGGACCTGCACAAGTACGACCCTTGTATGGCTCTCATGCATGGAATGCTGGAGTCGAACGATGAGTCTGTCATTCTTGCAGCTGTACAGCGGATTTTAGACAGACAAGTTGACAAAGTGCAATTTTTACAAGAGTACTTTGACGTTTATTGCGTTAATGTGCAAACTGCAGAAGATGTTGTGAAAGAAATCGCCAAAAAACAAAACCATTACGTAAAAGGAGGATTGTTAGACTTAATGAAAGCAGCAAATGCTATAATAATGATGTGGAGATCTGGGAAAATACCCCATTATGACATCGCGCCCATAACACAGGATTCACAAAAAAAAGTCAACGTTCAAGAAGTTGAATTTTGTTCCAGCAAATCCGAACCACTCGATTTCAAGGCTTGGCTAGCTTAATATAAATAAATCTATATTTAAAATTCATATATTAAAAATGCAAGGAATGGGACTCGAACCCATGCGTCTCTCGACAGAAGATCTTAAGTCTTCCCCCTTAGCCACTCGGGCATCCTTGCAATTGTTCAAAGATGTCTCATGAGTAATTCGAAGCGTGACGTAGCATTGGCATCAGCTTCGTAAAATTAAGTATTCTTTTTTTGATGCTCCTAGCTTAATAATATCGCCGTCCCGCAACATGACTGGTTCGTTTGGTTCAATTTGCGTGCTGTTGACAAAAGTTCCGTTAGTACTGTTCAAATCACATATGTAAGGCTGCAGCTTTTCAAATGTCTTCGTTTTGTTGAAATATAACAAAGCGTGTTTCCGACTTACACTTTGATTCGTGCTGATAATTTGAACTTTGTTCCAGTTTTTTCCAATGAGGAAGTTGTTCTCGTCAAGAGATAAACACTCTAAAATCAGTTAGTCTGGTTTTGCTCACTTACTTTCACAAATATTATTTTTTATTATAAATAGATACCAGTCATCCTTAATGTCTGTTTGGAATTTCTCACTCGGACCGACGATTTCTACATTTTCCGATATGTTGTATGTTTTTTCTGTACTTATCGTTTCCATATCGTAGCTATCTCGTTTTCAGTTTTTGAAATTAAGAAATTGTTATCCTAGAACTTTGATTGCACCTTTTGTATCGGACGAAATAAAGATAGTGTAGATCACTTGGACTTTATTTTGTTTTATTAGGAACAGCTAGCAGACAATTAGACTTTTCGTAACATCAGCAAATTATGAACGCACCACATTCAGCAGTAGATATATAATTTGGAGTTCAAGCAGGTTAAAACGGTTTGTGCATTTAAAAATCAAAACTTCTAACAAGATCATTTATAGTTGATGCTGATAAAATTTGCTGCGTACTAAACATAATGGAAGTCAAGTCACAGTAGTACTTAGCAGAATATCCAATCTAGCTTACTAAGGATCAGCTTAGATAATTGACATCGATTTATAAAATTTTCGTTTCCGTCTATCATTCACGATGTGTACAGAAATGTGTGCTGTACTGTATATCTTATTTAACTCTTTATGTCAAAATTCTTTGTACGAAAATTTTTCATTTTTAGTATAGACGTACGTGCTAATGACTAATGTCGATATTTTTATATTACTTTTAACGTCATAGCCGTTTAAAATCAAAAAATAATTGTCAAATAACAAAGGATCGGTACATAAAAAAAAGTTTGACAATGTAAAACCACAAAAACGTGAAGCATGAATTGAAGATCGTTTTTAGTATTACAAAAAAATTTAGGTAAAGCCAAAGCCGTCTCGACCTTCCATAATAGCTTGCAAAAGCTTAGTTTTTAAAATTTCCTTTGACTCATAGCTAGGAAGCTCGAGTTGGTTGAAGCAAGTGTGGGCTGTGGGGAGTCGATTTACGTTGTCGACCTTGGTGATGGTGAAATATTGAATTCCATTGTTGCCCATCAGGTTCTTGAACCCGCCTAAAGGTACTTTACCAGAACCCGTTACGAACTGGAGAAAAGAAGCGACCTGATTAGTATCGAATTCTCGCAACACTTCCCAAAAGTGAATGATTGTCTTATCTTCTTTTACATAGTTGCTGTATATTGTATGAGCTTGCAGGTCGTCAATGGAAATGTCTGGCAATCCACAAATGAGAAGTTCGATTTCCATTTCGTCGAAAATAGAAATTAAGAACCTCGGAATCAAGCTGTTAAAGCCTTTCATGAAAGCGGTTACCTGTTCCTTGATCCCTCTGAGACACTTAAACTCGCAAAGCAAGTTTACGTATTCCAACTTGTTGTCGTCAGTAACGGGGATGTTGTTTCCGTTTGGAATGAGCTCAGTTGTCTTTATCTGATCAAACTCTACAATGTCGATATTAAAGTACAGCTCCAGCCCCAAATTTTCTATAGAGTTGTCCAGCAGTTGCTGCAAGTTCGTGTAGTACTGTTCGTCAATGAACTGTGAATCAGAAGGAGTTAAAGTTTTTCCAACTATTATTTTGTAAAGTGGACGGGTAAAGTGAGCATCCAAATAGTAGCCGTCAAACAAACATTTAGCTGTAATGAGTCCAATAAGCCTGAAGCATTCTAGATGATCTGGGTCAATGCGACTGAGAGGATTGATGTGGTAATCCGTGCCTTTGTCGCTGACTTTCACAAACATACAGTAATCAGGGTTGAAAATTTCCTTAGATAGAAGTCGGTAAAATTCACGAGTTAATCCGCCCTCATCGACACCTTCTTCACCTTCGAAAATAATCGAGAAATTTGAAATGTAGTTTTTGTGTTCTAGCAGTTGTGTAAAAGTGTCATGTAAAATGTTTTCTCGGTTCACAATCAGAGTTATTTGGTCTTTAGCAGACCAATTTTTGAGCTGAATAATACGAAGTCTGAAATAAGATCTCTTGTTATCGAAGCTGATGAGCGAAGTAGCTACGAACAGTAATAAATTGAAAGAACTTAACAAAAGAATCGGCTGTTGCCTTATCATCAAATTTATCAAGATCGAGTGCTTTTCAACAAATTTGTACAAGATGTTGTAGTAGTTGGATAAAGGTTTGTTTTCGCTTGTACAATAAAATTCTAGAGCCTTGAGCGCACAATGCACAAAGAGTCCGTTAGAAACAGCTATATTGTTGTCGCTCGCCAGTTGGTCCTTTGAACCGAATTTTGGAAACGTAATCGTTTTGGGAACTAACAAACCCCAAGTGGTGTGACAAGTAGCGCAATTGAGCATGTTTGGTGTGCAATAGTTCAACTTAAAGTCGTTCAGAATTCCTATACCACACCGGAGAATGAACGCTTCAATAAGTGGTTGGAGAGCATTCATAAACATGGGAATATTTGTGATATTAAATTCGTCAGACTCTTTATACAGTTTAGCGGAATTTGACGGATCCTGTTCTGTATTTTGAATATAAGACTGAGACAAAGCTCGGTGGCTTTTATCCTGTTTGTCTTTGTGGAGCGAATATTGGTTGTTTCTTCTACGTTTGGACTTCTTAGAGTCTGGATCAAGTTTTATATCTGTAATAATGCTACTAAACTCGTTGTATTCTTCTACTTTATGTAAAACATCAGACAAAATTTCCCACAAAAGCAGTTCAGATCGTGAGGACGATAACATACGTTCAACTCTTTGGTTGAGATATTCATGGTTGATGTCCGAGTCTGTTTCAGTGAATTCGTCAGTAATGTTGTTCGTGTTAGAGCAAGACTTAAAGCCGTCATATTCGACGTCCAAGTAGAGGCTGTGATTCATCTTTTTCTTCAAGTATTTGTCCGGAATCTTCGTAAAATTCGGAACTTTCTCGTCGATGAGAATCTCACTTATATTAATAATACTAGCGTATACTGCTCTGAAACATTGTACAAGTTGTTTAGATTCAATGAAATAAGAAGATTTGATTGGCTCTTTGATAGAGCTCAAGTGAAAGCAGGCTTCTGTAAATAACGAGTCAAGTGAAACTTCCAGGCAGTGAAGCAGGCAGTTACGATAAGAAGAATTGTAAATTCGCTGCAAAATGTTGTTAATATTTAAAATAGTTGTCGTACAGCCGTAAATAAAAGAATCTTCTATGCCAAATATTGCAACTCGAGAAAGTTTCATTATCAAATCAATTTTTGTGTTCATGTTGTTCTGTATAGACAAATTTAGAAGGAGTTTATTAATCAATTTTTGGCAATCGGAGTACAAAAATGACTTGCAATCGACAAGCATAGAAAGAGTTTCCAAATCGAATTTACACAATGTAACAGGTGTGTTGTCAGAGTCATAGTCGGAATCACTCTCGTTTTCCAGAGTCAACTTCATAGAATCTGCACTCAAAAAATCGTAATAAAGCTCATATACTTGAGAACAAGCATCATCATCGAAAGCTGAGATCGCATCTACTAGGTCTGGTAAAACAAAGCCATGCAAATTTTCAGCGTCTAAAATAGTTTCCTGACTGTAGCTCGATTTGCTATTACCAGGCCCAATTTCAAATTTCTTTTCACCTTCTGAAGTGTTTATTGGAGTTTCAACATGCGATACCAAAGCTCCGCGAGAATTGTTGCTCGCATTACAAACACTAAGATACAACCGGACAAGCGTTGGAGAATTTCTAGAGTAATAAGATCGAGAACTAACGACGATTTGGACAATAGTAAGAAGTGTTTGTGCAATCTTGGTGGTGATTTCCTGCTTATTGTCTTTACAAGCTTCAATTAAAAAGTTTTTTGAAAGAAGTGTGGGGTATGGATTTCCATTGATATCGAAATTGTATGTAATCTGATGTTGCAAGGTGAAGTTGCGCAGTTCTTTGAATTTTACATAGACAGGGAGAATATGTTCAAAGTCAGAAAAAACTGGAGTAGCACTAAAAGCGGGCTGATCAGGAGCTTCATAGTTGATTAACAGCGCACAATTAATGTTAGCCTTGCTGTTGCTGTAAAAGGATATATGAGCGTCATGAATTTTTTTGAAGGAACGCTGGACCTCGTTAACATTCATTGTAAGAAGTTTCCGAACCGCTACGTCATAAGTTAAGTCTTTCTCGTCGATGTCAAAAACGGTACGTAACTCATGCGGATATACATGTAGTGCGTAGCAAAGTAAATCTAAATTATTTTCAGAATCAACAGTTAAGCGTCGAGCCTTAATGTATTTAATCATTTCAAACGAGTTTACAATGGTAGACTGAGTTACAATCGATTTTATTTGAGTGCACATTGTCTTTAGTTCATCCCTCAAAGCAGGCCGCTCTGTGTTTAAAACAGTATAAGTAGGCATAAATATGTGTTGAAGTATTGACAAGTTCGGACAGTAGTAGCACATATATTGCATAATTAAAAACAACTGGCACTTACTTTCACTGACTCTATATTCAATCCAAGACTTCGAGAGCTTAAGTTTTTTCAGAGCTTCGTAGTGTAAAGATCGTTGTGTACTTCTAATATACAAAGGTTCGTAAAAATATTGCGGTTGTTTGTGGTTTACACAATACTTTTTCTCAATATTGATCTCGTAAAACAAGTTTTTGTAAGTGTCAATTGCTAAATCTAACATGAAGCTAGGCTGTTCTACGGCTTTGTAAGGTTCCTTTTCAGTTTCGTAAGTTAACATAATTGGCTGTATAGTCGGGTATTGCGCATATATTCTTTGAGAATCATTTTCAGTTGGTTCTATGTTAATCATTTGCGAAAAAAACAACAAGTCGTTTAGCAAAAACTGTCTCAAATTAACTAAACCGCTAAAAGAAGTTGAACTCTTTTTTGAAACATCTCTAAAATTACTGTCAACATAATTATTTGTCGGTTGAATTTGATTCATTATCATCGAAAACGCAAAGTCTGTTGACGTATTCATATTGTTGTCGATAATGACAAGTTCAGCATCTGAGCTGTAAGTTTCCCATTCTTCATTTAAGCTGAAGTAATCAATTTCTTGTTCTTCCGAAGTAGCGCCACTTAGCATGTCACTTAGACTATCTTCTCCTGCTCGTAATTCATCATTGTCAATACTGTTTGAAAATTGGATGTTATCCAAACTCGGTAACGTTAAATTGCTGCTGTTCATACTTCTATCTTCTGCGTTGTCAAAGACATTCTTTTCTGAGTCTGACAGAAAATTGCTTTGAGCATCTAATGGGGTGACGACCTTGTTTTCATGAGAGAATTTTTCTGAGTCAATGTTCTGAATAATATCGCTGTATATTCCACATTCTTTTATACCGATGAGCGGCGAATTTTGATTCGTCAAATATGAATTATACTCAGTTTCTGTGCCGTCTTGTTCGGCGTTGAAGTTTGGATCTAAGAACTCTTTAATTTTGTTGCAATTATTCTCACATATTTTTAAACAAATCCTTTCAATCATTCCGATAAGCAAGTTCTTATCGAGAATGTTGAAGTTTTTAATAATTGGAGTTATTTCATTACAATAAGTTGAGACTTGAGACAGTAATTTCGAAAATTGTTCCATCAGTAAGGGTGGAGAAACAGCAAAATTTCCAACCGTCGGAAATTCTTGTTTAGAGTTGAAACTGTTTGAGAGCGTGCATGAAGTAATTTTTTGTAATAGACTAAAATCCAAAAACGCATAGATAAGTAATAAAGTACTGAACACGTTTATAACTGAATCATACAGTTCGGTATTGCCCATATTATATGTTAACATGGAGTTAGTCAAATAGTTATAACAAATATTGGCACAATTAATATTGCGGTTTATGATAAAAGATATAACAACGACTATTTTGATCAATTCAGTAGCTTCGACGTTGAAGTATTCTTGATTATCTTCTAAGCTAGAACTATCATTATCAAACAACACACTTAAAGCATTGTTTAAAGGTTTTTTTACTGACATTCCCAATTTTTCATAATATGCTTGGTAAGAATTATTAGCTTTCAAAAGTAAATGAATTTTTTTGCTTGTGAAAATTTCTGAGAGAATTATTTCAAAAACGCACTTGTTGTTGCATAAAGTCTTGTAACGTTTATCAACGGACAAATCTAGTAAAATTATAGTTAAGTTTTTGTTGTTCGTTATGTTTTTTGTTTTTACAGAACCAGAGTTAGGCTCGTCTAACTGTATCAATTTGTCAAATTGCAACTGTCTACAAAACCCTAAAATTATTTGTGGAATAGAAACTAAGATAACAAAGAAAAGTGTTAGAATCATACTTGAAGTGAACTCATACTTCACAAATCGTTCTTCAGCTTCGTTGTTAGTTGTTTCTGACGAAATAAATTCCGTGACCCATACGGGAAGAACATTGTCATAGTGATAATTGAGCTTGCACGAAGTATTAAAACAAGTCTCACCGTAAAACGGACACGCACGTTCAAATTCACTTAATTCTTTATATGCCACAAAAATTTCTGTTATTATACTGTACATATAGGGAATTAAACGCACAAACTCATTGTTTTTCGTTTGATTCAATACAGAGTTCAAAGCGCAAGAGTTAAACAGGAGATTAGTAATGCGTTTGTCAGTTATTTCTTTGTAAGTTAAAGGCTCTATTGTCCACAAATCTCTGCATATTATTTTGCGAGAAAGAACCTGCAGTAAATCCTTGAATAACTCTTGTTTGTTTTTTTTTTGTAAAATGAGCATTTCATTTAAATCTTCGTTGTAAAGCGTTAAATAGAGCAATCTTATGTATTGAACACTGTCAATCAATATAGAATAGATAAAGACATTGACAATTTCCAGGTTTGAAAATATTTCGGGTTTTTTGGCGATCTGGTACTGTTTATAAACAGGTTTCGACAACAAGACATGGGTAATGATGTAGTTCTGCAGACAATAGTTTTTAAAGTCTCGGATACCAAAAGTATTGACAATTAAAAAGAACATGTAGTGCCTGAACTGTTCATCCGTGAATTGAAATGTTCTGATAGTTTTCGTGACGAGTGTTAAAAACACCTTGTAAAGTTTGTAGTTCAAAAACATTTTGACATTCGAAATAACTACTTGGTAATGGTCAGGTAATTGATAATAATCAAAGGATGCTAGATAAAAATTTTTTTCGTCACAAATTGTTCCTGTAGGGTCAAATAAGCTCTCATATGTTGGATCGCTATTTTGGTTTAAGGCTTCTTGTTTCTTGGAAAAACATGCAGTTGAATCATTCGCTTTGTTAATATTTGCGAATTTCGTAGTTTTTTCAAATAGTTCTTCGTGATTTTTGGAACTCTTGCTGCTAACAATATCGTGCCAGAGCTCTTGCACTTGAAACTTAATACAAAATGCGAGCACGGCGAGCAAAAATATAGGGAACATGGGATTGTCCGAGCTTGTCAAAACTAGTTTTTCGCTGAGGTCGTTGTGAACAGATGTGCATTCAATTAGATCGTAGTAAGGGTAAAATTCATTGTCAGTGTAGTTCAGCTTCGAACGGTAAAATAAATGATCACTCAAACAGTTAACTACTTTTCGTTTTTCAGAATACTGAGGTAAATTGACAACACTGTATTGCCTTAGACCGACCAAAGCCACGTTTATTACCAAGACTGCTAAATGTGGCTTTATTGGTTTTAAACTTTCTATTGAATTGTAGATGAAAAAATCAAAAATTGACTTATATATAAAACCGTAGTTTATCGGTTCAAAGTCAAAGTGCATCTGAAGATCAGCTAGGTATTTTTTATTAAGCGCCAAAGTTCTTTCGTTTACCTGTGAAAGTTCTTGCAGCTGCTTTTTGCATTGGATAAACGTGTGATTCAGTTTTGTAAACAGTATGAGCGTTGAGAAATCACAGCTTTTGTAGTGAATTGAAAAGAACGATGAAAAAATAATGCAAATTTCGTTTTTGATGAGTTTAGTGTTTAACTTTAGTAGAGTTGCAAAACACATTCGAATCATACAATTAATGATGTTCACGTTTTGTAGTTTTTGAATGATAATAGAGAAAACATTAATAATGACAGGAAGTGAACAGTCAGGGTCACTATGCAAGTAATGTTGAATCAGTTGGGTTAATTTGGAATTCTGTTGCTGAGAATTGGATTTTGAAATTTTCGAAGAAGGCTGGGAGAACAATCGTGGAAAAACGAATTCGTAGTCCGCCATTAAAAGATGAGCATACAGCATGAGGTATGTTTTGTACTGAATTTCGAGATCAAAGCAAATAACAAACTCAAACGTAA